TCTCACAGTATCAGAGACAACAGAACCAACTTCTTTTTTCCTGCAGTAGGGATCCTGGTCTTCTAGCCTGCTCCCTTCCATACTTCTTCCTGTATGCTCTCAATCCTCATGGAGTAAATTGAGCTCCCCCTGCTCCCCACTTAATGACTGTGAGCTGTTCGCAGTGGGATTGATGTTCATTAACTAATAGATTTCTTTTCTTCTGTGCCAGGCTTATGGAGTAGCATCAGGCACAGGCAAATGACTTGGAGTGAACTATAAGACAATACAAGAGGCTGTCACAGTGTTTTTTTTTAATTTATCTCCTATTTTAAAAAAAACATGCAAATATTCTGGACCAGGGGAGGGAGCAGGAGGTTGCTGGTACAGCTATCGACACGAAATGTCAGGGTGAAGGGATTTCAGTTGTTAACTGTTGTGGTGGTGCTGTGATACAAGCTTGCTTTCCTTGCTGTTATGTCTCTGTCAACTTTTACCTTTCAGGTCAGAACATTTTTTTGTGTGCTCTGTGCTAAATAAATTAGGAGTACAACCAGTAGACTGCTTAGAAGAAACTGAAGATGATACAGCCAGGAAATTTTGGTAGGCTAGGCTGTGCATACTGTTTTACATAGTGGACAGGAGCCCTTTTCCTCTACCCTCGTATATAATACTGTGGTATTTTTACTCTGGGTGATAACTCTGTCCTGGTTCCTCCACCAAAATATTCTTCTACTTTTGCCTGGTGAGAGTCAACTTTTAGCAGAAGGCAAAGGAGTATCCCATTCAGCACTGCAGTATATAGGCAAACCTAATCGTTTCTCTAGATTGAGAAATCAGAAAAAGATTATGTGACCGTATTCGTGTGGTCTAAGTTTGGGCACTTAATGTAGATGTGCTTCTAGACAAGAGATGTTCCTGCAGAGAGGCTTTCAGAGCATCTAAGTTAGACTTATGCTTGGAATCCCCTTCTGGAGAGGTTTTGTCTTTCCTCTGGCTATGCTGGGAGCGTAGGAAGACTTGCCTTCTTAAGTTACTGTGGATTTTGTTTCGTCCCAGCTAGCTTCCATTGTAATCGTTCCTAAGGATGGACAAGGGAGGAAGGGGAAGAGATCTGCCTTCTGAACATGTGAAGGTATGGTAGGTGTGCATCTCTTTCATGTGTGCAAGATGGAATTTTATCTCTATAGAAACGTTTGTCACTTGCCTCCAGGGCAGCCATTCTTTAGTTCCATATTAGTTTGTGGCAAAGTTGAAACCTGGCTAGCATTTAATCTGCAACTCCAGACTGTATTCCTTCAGAACCCATTTGATCCTCTCTTTTTGCCTCCTTAGAATTGACCAATATTTTGGGTACTGGTACAGGTTTTCTGCAGTAATAATTTCTGAAGCTGCAGGTTTTCACAGTAGTGATCCCCCCTTCCACAAGGACATAGATTACTCTTAGATGTGTTTAGTCCCAATCCGAAATGTGCTAGTGAAAATTCAGTGTTCTAAGGAGAAGCTCCAACTTCGGAACTGTCCTTAGAGGTTTCTTTAGACCAACAGCAGTCTTAACTCTACTGGCCTCCTAGTAAATAATCCTGAGGGAAATGGTGATTGA